AGTCGCATATGCGAGTGATTTACTCGCAATGTAGAGGGTTGAGAGGGCACTTGTCCAGCGTAATCAATGGCATACATCCAAATCAACAAGACAGAGAGAAGGGCAGAAAAAAAGTGAAGTGAAACGCAGTAGTGATGGAATAAACAAAGCTTTTCAAAGCTTTGAATCAATTGGACCAATTTCTTCACGAAACGATTCACTGCTCTTAAGCGATCAAGGCACCAGTGACGCCTGCTGGTCAGAATAGTGTAAATGCAACAGAAACTCAGACCAAACTGCTTAAAAACTGTTTTTACAAATCCGATCTCAGAGAATCAGCATGATTCAGTTGTGACGAAACAAAGCCTTGTTTACTGAAGTCACGTGACTTTGGCAGTTTTATAGGCGCTTCGAACCAGTGATTCGAAATAAAAGATTTGAAAAGGTTTCGAAGCTTCATGAAGTAGTGTTTCGAAAGTGGCCATCACTAGGAACACAACCGGAGACTCCACTGGTATGAACAATCATTGTGTCTGATCATAATTGCAAAACACTAAATGGTGTAAAGAGGTTCAAAGCACTTTGGGATCTGATTACCGAAACCATATTCTGAGGTATAAGTGTGTACCGATGTGAGAAGAGTGAAAGGGCCTGGACACAGCGGACCTACCTTGAAGTCCTTCATGGCGTTCTTCAGTGTTTTGATGGAGTGTCCAGAGTGCGTTCCCTCTATGGTGCAGGCGTTGCAGAGGAACAAGCGCTCATCCAGGCAATAGTACCGGAACATCTCGTCGTGCTCCAAACACTTCCTCTTCCTCATGTCACCGAGCGGCTCCACCAGCGGATGCTCTCTGAACGCCGGCAGCTCCAGATGAGGCTGGACGTGCTTCGGGCACATGGACACTTCACACTTCAGGCAGGTTTTAACCGCCGCCGGACCCTCCCCGTCCTCGCTGGCGTCCTCGGGACAGTAATCGCAGCGAACCTGGGCGGCTCTGCGAGACGCGTCGCTCCGGCTCTGGGTGGAGCGCTCTGATTGGCCACGACGGCGGAAACCGTCAGCGATGTTGGCCAGTTTGAAGTTCTTCTGCCAGTTGGCGGAGCTGCGGTGACTCTGCCGGCACTCGGGACATCGCAGACGGCCGTGGTCCGAGCGGCTCTTGAGTCTGCGCAGGCACGGCAGGCAGAAGTTATGGCCGCAGGGCAGCAGGTGCGGGTCACGGTAAAGATCCAGACACACTGGACACGTCAGCTCCTCCTCGAGAACGCTGTGGTCTTCAGCAGACGTCGCCATGATCAGTAGACCTGTGGACCGCAACAGATAGCAGAACTCTAAAGTTACTTTTAACAACACAGTTTGCTTCCTACCCAAGCAGCCTGAAGAATTTGCCAAAGTTGGACTAGTTTAACCCAAAGAGGACATCATGTCTTTCTAAATTCACATTCTGCTTCTTTTCGTATTAATATAATTGTCAAAAATAAATAAACACACAAACAAACAATTG